TGCTGCACGCTGGATATTTTTTTTTGTTAAATGACTTATCACGTCCCTGGTGCTTATTTTGCCAAGAGAATAATCTCCATAAGCTCCCCTTTAGTTATGGACATCGTGTGTATTTAGCTCAGAACAATAATTCAAAAGGATGTTTCCAGATTCACGGCTCAACCTGAATTTCAATATATCTGAAACTGTTCCGTCACCTAAGCTATTACACTTTTAGTTTCAAGTTTTAATTCACAAGTTCATTTTTTGTTTAATGACATGATCTATCCACTGCTGAACGAGGGCTACCCACATAATTACAATCCGCGTATGAGATTATCTCATCACTATCTGTGGTCATCTTCTTTTGCACGTTCCCACCTTTGGCTGACATTCTTGCCACCAGCATCGCCTGTCGGTCATCATCTCTTCTAAGGACATGTCCTGCCCCTAAACCCAAATACTTTTCATAACAATCATTGTCTGCAATTCGCATTTATCCTCTGATTCATGTGTTCCTGTCTCTCGGTGTACTTCCCGGTATATCTATCTCCAAGGTTGGTTGCTTACTTTTCATCTTTTGTTTTGTTGTTTGTAAATGTCCATGTTAAAGATCCAGTGATGTTATTACTATTTATATTTTTGCCTTCATTTCTCCCATCCAGTTTTCAAAGCATATCTCATCACTTTGAATGGCCTTGATCGACTTTTTCTGGTTTGTATCCGAACTTTTGTTCGACAATCTCTATTTAACATAAGCTATATGTTCAAGGCTTAGCTTTGCGAGAGTTTGGATGAGTGAACAAACTTCCACTTAATAGCTGTTCGTACACTTGTGTATACAGTATTCAATGTGTTAGTAATCAGCCACAGGTTCAAGAAACTGGGGTCTCTCTAACAATACACAACACGGTTCTATTGCCAACAAGTTGTTTATGGAACCCGATACACGTAATGTGTGGTACCTTGTGGAATATCATTTTAACATCCACAACAGCTGTTCTCTTTACCTGTTAAACCTTTTGAGATACAGGGGTACACATCTCATGTTAAAGATGAATAGCAGATTACGGATGCATACATTATCTGTATATATAGTAAAAATATGTATTTATATTTTTAGCATACAGTACTATATTGACAGGGCAGGAACCACAATGTTATGGAGCTGTGGCGTTTCATGGCCCATGCAACCTTATTTCACCAGACTACACTGGCGAGTGTGAATGTTTTACGATACAATGCAGTTTTAAAACTGTGCAGCCTAAAATATAGCTTTCAATACAAATTATCTTTGTTTAAAAAATAATTGTAATTTATCGAGTATGAAATGGTAAATTGGAAAGGCTGGGAACGCATCCTCAGAGTACAGTCCTGTTATCTTTATTCAATATACGAAGTTTAGTCAAACGTTCCAGGGACGCACCCACTTTGTAAATCGAGGTGCTACTGTACGACTTTTAGGGTTGCTGTACAGCCCTCTGTTGTCCATTAGTCAAGCATGTTCTTGCCGTGCTCAGCGGTGGCTCAGCTTACACGTGCCGATTGCACTCTGGGGTAGTTACCATTGAAGTGCCCATCGTGTAAATGTGTAGTTACGCCTACGACACGCTCACCACAATGTACGCAATTGTATACGGCTGGCGGGAAGCCCCCTTATACCCTTCGACGTGTACGAGCGTCGTGCAGCTCTTGACGATAGGCGCATCGGAACATCACACCCCTTAAATAGCGTACCGTGCCCCTTTCACATCGCCTAATGTACATATATGGGGCTACTGCATCGACATACGTATACACACACACAGGACTACTGCTAACAGCACACCCCCTGACCGCGTGATGTTCGGACAGCTGTGTGTGTGTGAGAGTGAGAGAGTGAGAGGTTGGTGAGGAGTTAGCGGTGTCCCAGTGGCGGCCTCCTCCATGCTTCGCCGCATGGAACCCCGCAGCCCTCGTGGCCGCCGCTTCCGCCTTCACTTGCCCGGCGCGTCACTCGATGACGATGTCGGGGGCGGGGGGGGGTTGTGGGGGGCACTCCGAGGGGCCACTCGACTGCTAACTGCCATTGACTGGAAGATTGTATTTGTTATTATTTTGTACAAATTCAAACAAGTGAACAATCCCGTTTGGAAAAGAAAAAAAACACTCGTATGCATTGCTGTGCATATAGGGATTTTCTGATACTGCTTTGGCAGTGGTGCATAAGCACAAATGACAAAAACAACACATTCGGAAGAAGCATTGGCCTACAAATTAAAATGTTCATAATTGTCAACGTTTCAGCCAATGATCCTTGTTTTCAGCAGACCGTTTGCTCGTAGAGCAGTGTTATTGACGAATGTGGTGTATTTGTGCTGTTTTTATGATTGTAATAAAATGTGAAACGTTTACAACTAATTTCCTGCCTCCTAAACATGTTTTTTTATTATAAATAATCGACGAGGATTAAATGGGTGCCGTGTCTTTCGTCCCTGTTTTAACAAATGTTTGCGATTGTCTATTTTCGCGTCCCTGAGCTAGTAGTGGAAATTCCACATTCCTACGACAGAGGCCAGCTTATCCACTAATCGACCAGTCGACTTCCCACAGAGTGATTCTAGAAACCCTGGAGGGCTGATGATGGTGTAAATCAATAACATAACGGAATTTTATCTCAATTTTCTGGACGTTCGCTGAGCCCTCTTAACCACAGCAGGAATAGAACGAGGACAAGGTAAATAAAAGATTACAAACTTGAAGATACATATGTAATGCCATGGTCTTGAAAATTGAAACCGTGCATGCATTCCAGCGCTTAGTAGGCAGGTTCGTGAATTACAGAAGCCATCATGTCGTGTGAAACTTGGAAAAGGTAGTACAGCAAGTGGGTTGTGACCCAGTCGTGCACACGTTTTAGTGGTATTCCCTTATACTGGTAGGAACGAAGTTGTAAACTGAGTGTACCAGCCTTCAATAGATTAATGTGTTCGTCCGTCCGTCCCCTTTCCTAACTTTAACGAAGTGAAATCTCGTGCTGTTGGGGTGTAATAATAAAATTGCGCAAAATTCCAATGTTCCTACCAGCCTACCCTGCAGGGACCTGTTATAAGCAAATTGGCTCCAGACACATCCGTTATCGCTCAGATGAAAGAACAAGAATTGACCAGAAATTCAAATTCTGTCGAGAACCACGTTGTTTCCAATGCACGTTTTTTTCTGTTGTTACATGAATCTGTGGTTATTAAATTTGAATTTTCTCAGTGAATTCCATGAGTAAACCACACGTACACTTCAATAATCATCAGTCAGCCAATAAGACTTGGGGGAGAGGGAAACCTATGTTTATCCACATTATGCTTATAAATACCTTAACTAAATTACGATTGGGAACATTAAAGAGATATTGTTGTTCGTTTTTAAATTTAGTTTCTTTTATTTCTTAGATGATCCCGATTAGCCATTTTTTCCCCCGGCTATTTAACAAGGCAGATCCGTGGTGAAGTGAGCACAGCAACGTAACAAAACCATCAATATCGCAGAGAATGAGTTCAGGGTACTAAAGGAATCTTGCACACATTACCACGAGTTATTTAATGGTCGAAATACACGCGAATGAAAAAACAACTGTGCTAATATCACGAGCCAGAGGCGCAAGAAAACAAGTTAGGTGCAAGTAATGTGTGTGTTTTGGTTTTAATGAAGATGGGCTGTGAAGGGAGTAAACCAAAAATGGAAATGAGCGCCAATGGTGAATGGTCTTCCAGAAACGTTGAGCAGCAACGCGGAAATTTTTGTTTTTACCAAAGGTTTACTACACTATCTTGATCTGAAGCTTTCGTGACTGCAGGAATCCATACTCTTTGGTTCTTTCGGTAAAGTCACGTAGGTATAAAAATAATAATAATAAAAGATCACGTTTCGATCGCCACACAAGCAACCGTCCTCAGGTGGGACACACGGTCCGTAGTTCGGATTGCATGACCACAATGGGACCTGTGGCTCGGCTTAAAATTGCCCACCTACAGGCGGGGGACGGTAACCTTCCACGCGGCACACTTGTTAGGCGATTATTACATTTCTAGATTTAAAGCTTTCGTGACTGCTAGGATCCATACTCTTTGGTTCTATTGGGTAAAGTCACGTAGGTGAAAATAAAATAACAAAAAAATCACACCTACGTGACTTTACCCAATAGAACCAAAGAGTATGGATTATTACATTACCTGAGCGAAACGCAAGCAAAAACATTTATTTTTTTTTAACCCGGGTCAGCCGGTTTGCTGCGTCCGTCACGCGCGACCCTGGCGTGGGGGACCCGGCGTGCTGGGCAAGGGCGGGTTCGGCCTCTCGAGAGAGACGGGCGGCGAAGACGAAGACTACGAACAAGGCGGCGGTGGCGGCGTTCACACTCACCACCACACAGACACACAGAGCTACAGCAACAGCAGGGAAGAAGAACCACAGCGACAACTACGGCAGCAGCAGCAGCAGCGGAACCACGGCAACCCAACCGGGCAGCACGCGAGAAATAAAAGAGAGAGAGACAGACGGCAACCAGCAGCAGTGAGAGAGAGAGAGGGGGGAGTGTGGGGGGAGAGAGACGCAGTTTTGGCTCAGGGCGCGGCAGCGTCGGCGAGAAGGGGGTGGTGGTGGTTGTGGTGGTGGTGGTTGTTGTTGTTGGTGTCACAGGCACCCTTGGGGTTGCAACGCGAAGAGTTTTGAGAGGGGCCGGAGGAGGGCAATCGTCTTGCGAGGCTAAACGCGAGCGGCTCCCAACTTCACTCGAGACCGTCGTCACAGGCAGGAGTGGTGGTGGTGGTGGTATCGCCAGAGTTAGTGGTGGGACTGTAGTCGTAGGTGATAGATAGTCATCGCTAGAGTTGTTGTTGGTGGTGGTGGTTGTGGGACTGTAGTCGTAGCAGTAGAAGCGGCGGCAGTGGGAGCAGCATGGGGACGCCGGGCAGGAAACGGAACCCGGTGCGGGAGACGTTCGCGGCCGAAGACGACGCGCTCAGCCACATCGCCAAGGAGGTGAGAAAGCGCACTTGGCCTACCGTGCATCTACCGCGGAGTTACCATGGGTTTACTGTGAACTTGCCTTTACATCTGGCAGGTGATTCCGTTAATACCATGGACTTACCGTGCATCTCCCGCGGAGTTACCATGGGTTTACTGTGAACTTGCCTTTACATCTGGCAGGTGATTCCGTTAATACCATGGACTTACCGTCCATCTACCGTGGAGTTACCATGGGTTTACTGTGAACTTGCCTTTACATCTGGCAGGTGATTCCGTTAATACCATGGACTTACCGTCCATCTACCGTGGAGTTACCATGGGTTTACTGTGAACTTGCCTTTACATCTGGCAGGCGATTCCGTTAATACCATGGTCTTACCGTGGAGTTACCATGGGTTTACTGTGAACTTGCCTTTACATCTGGCAGGCGATTCCGTTAATACCATGGACTTACCGTGGAGTTAGCATGCGATTACTGTGAACTTGCCTTTACATCTGACAGGTGATTCCGTTAATACCATGGACTTACCGTACATCGACCGTGGAGTTACCATGGGTTTACTGTGAACTTGCCTTTACATCTGGCAGGTGATTCCGTTAATACCATGGACTTACCGTCCATCTACCGTGGAGTTACCATGGGTTTACTGTGAACCTGCTTTTACATCTGGCAGGTGATTCCGTTAATACCATGGACTTACCGTGCATCGACCGTGGAGTTACCATGCGATTACTGTGAACTTGCCTTTACATCTGGCAGATGGTGGTGTTAGTACCATGGACTTACCGTACATCTCCCGTGGACTTACCATGGGTTTACAGTGGACTTGCCTTTACATCTGGCAGATGGTTGTTAGTACCATGGACTTACCGTACATCTCCCGTGGACTTACCATGGGTTTACAGTGGACTTGCCTTTACATCTGGCAGATGGTTGTTAGTACCATGGACTTACCGTACATCTCCCGTGGACTTACCATGGGTTTACTGTGGACTTGCCTATACATCTGGCAGATGGTTGTGTTGGGACCATGGACTTACCATGGGTTTACTGTGGACTTTCATTTACATCTGGCAGGTGATTGTGTTAGTACCATTGACTTACCATGAATCTACCGTAGACTTACCATGGGTTTACTGTGGACTTTCCTGTACATCTGGCAGATGATAGTGTGACATGTACCGTACATCTACCATATAAATATGGTCTTACCATAGATTTACTATGGACTTCCCATACATTTACTGTGAACTAACCACACATTTACTTCGGAAATACCATGCATTGTCAACATATTTTCCCGACAAAGACACTACCATATTCATAGAGAATGTGTTCAGCGAGATTGCTGTCGAATTACCATACATTTACCATGGCCTTAACACCACTTCACACTCAAATTCAATGACGACCCATTTAGCCGGATGGTCAAGGAGGTGAGCTTCCAGTGAGAATACCATACATTTTCTATGGGTCTTGTACGACATGTACAACGAAACTTAACAATTCAAATAGAAGAGAAGTCAGGCAAGGAGATGTACTCACGTCAAGGCTATTGACAGATACACTACGTCAGATGTTCTTTATAACAACACATAGTGAACGTCAGGATATGATCACAGAACTTGACGACGGATGCCAAGAGTGGTTAAGATAAATGAGCAAAGCAAAAGTCACGCACTTGTTAATTAATAATACATCTTAAAAAAAAACATCAACGTTGGATTGTTATCTGAACAAAGTTGTAAAAACAGTAAATGGAGAGCAACTGTTGGAGGTGTACTGAGATAAAAGTTACTAAATAAAATGTTTCTTCTCAAATGAAAATAGCATTATGCCGAAGGTAAGACAGTTTTCAATCAAAGCATATTTCCTGCCATTGCATTTTTTATCAGAATCATGGGCACTGGCGAAGAAAATGGAACACAAACTAAAAGTAGGCAAAGAAACATGGGGAAGTGCGTGCTTGAAATTACACTGTCAGACAAAACAAAGAATAACATCGAGCAAAGAACAAGGGCAGGCTAGAGACCTTTTGACTGTTTGAGAAAGTTAATGTGTGCTTGGGCAGGACACGTTCCTAGACGGGATGAAAACGGATGGACAAGACTACATAACATAGATGGCAGCCACATGAGGGAGTGGATAACCACTAGGAGACGGGACGATAAGGTCAGCTCATCCCTATCGAGATGGATTTTGACATCAGAGGGTCATAAAGGATGTCAGAGACGTGGGCGGACCTGTTTTCAGCACTGGATAGAACACAGCTGATGATTTACACAGCATATAATGTACACTCGTCGATTCAAAGAGTAGTATGTGTTTTTGCCAGGTTCATAAAGAGGTGAGAGTGTCATGGGAATTCACCATCAAACTAACATATACTTTATACTTATACACTGCCACAGTGTATAAGTCTTTCAAACACGTTATATATTTACTAGTGTTTACTTACATATGCACTCATTAATAGTGGGTGCACCACACTTTTCCAGGATGCCATTGAGTTCATGATGTCTAGGATCTATCATCGTAATGCAGTATACACATTTTTATTTAATAGATTCCAAGGTGATTCCCTCAGCCACAAATAAAAGTAGGCCATTATACAATATAAACACTGACTTAAAGCTTTCGTGACTGCAGGAATTCATATTCTTTGGGTCTTTCGGTAAAGTCATGTAGAACAATTTTTTTACGTGACTTTACCGAAAGACCCAAAGAATGTAATATAAACACTATTCAGTACATACGCAATATTCACACCTGCTTATTATAGGCCTTGAACTACCATATGACATGTGGCAACAAAAATGCTTGCAGCAATTTCTGCACAACAACAATGCGTTATGGTTGTGGTTGGTAGTGGTCATATGACTGGCCCGTCCCGTCTGGTGGAAAGGCTTAAGACAATGATGACGGTCACTGACATTTTTCTGGAGATCTGGGTCACTTATAAGTGGCAGATGAGAGTAACTCACAAGTTTCGCAGCAAATTGATCCCATTATCTGCATTTATCTGAGGAATTTTGCCCCGGACCACAATTGCCACTGAAATGGCCTTCCAAAAATATGCATTTCATCCAATTATCTGCACAAAAGTGTGGATAAGATGAATGACAAAGAAGCGGCATCAAATCCATCCTGGTCATGCTTCTTCACATAAGAACTGCCAAAAGCACCCCCCCCTCCACGTGCCCCCTTATCAAAGCAGAAAAGGGGAGTTCTGATATACTTTGTAAGTATTTGGTTTATTCGAAAGAATCAGAAGTTTATTTCCCAAATTAAGCCCATTAAGCAAAGCTAAGATGCTCTTTTTCAAGGACGACTCAGACAAAATCAAAGCATTCCACAATTACAAAAAATATTTCACAATACAGTCGTGTAACATGCACTGATTAAAGAAAAACATAATCGGTATATATTAACCAGCGAAAACACATGTTTAGTAAACATGGTAATTGACGAAACAATTTTATTAGAGCTGATAAATGCATAAAGAAGTAATGGGAAAGGTGCAAGCTTCGAATTACATTTAAGAAACAGGAAGAGGAACACATGTATTGCAGAACATACTCAAGTTAAAGACAACATGGTGACTGTTAAGAAAAGTAAGTGGGCTTTGTCAGTATATGTCGCGAGAAGGGAAGTTGTTAGCCAATGATCGAGACTAATGATTGAGTAATAGCCAAAAGGATCATGCCGAAAAAGCCTGTCTTCTGGGGAGTTGGAATGATGGGATCACCTCCTATGCAGGTGCCAAATGGATCGTTGCATTTCAGGACTGAGGGATGGTGACGGTTTAGGGGGGTGGGTGCCTTCATCCAGCAGTGGCTTGATCAAGCCTGATGAAGATAACGAAATAGAGTTTTGTAAATTAGCATATGTATGGTAAACTTATTTTGCACCGTGCATAGCCAAGCATGCCAATCCGAGATATATAGAAAATGTGCGTGACATTGTACTCTGCTTACATTTGTGCCAGTGGTGCATCACATAAGTAAATGTATATCTGTCATGTTGACATTTTCTAGCGTAATGATATTGAGTCTACTCTCAGATACCACATAACCTTTTGGTTGGGCAATGCCTTACTTGCCAGTGATTGATAGGTAAGCTTTAGAATAATGGCAAGAGTAAAAAGTCAACATTGTTTACTCTCTTTGCTTGAAGCACAATACATGCCAAAGTACATTTTGTCATTCCAAATGTTGGGAGCATAATCACTGCTTTAGTAAAGATTATATCCACAATATGCAGGATGCCTCCAGATTAATTGCTTTTGTAGAGCTCATTTGTATTTACAAAATTTTATATTAACCATCTGCATTAGGCAAACTGTATAGCAAGTGTGAGGAAAAGTGTAATTATTTTTAAGCTATGGTTCAGTACTTTTTGCTTTGTGTGCATTTATTTCAGAGTAGGGGTATCAAACACAAACCATGGGCTATGAAGCCCAAGGGTATGTATTCACTGGAACGTCACATCCTTATGATGCCACCCACCAACTTATCGAGTTGGCGAGCATTTTTTGTTGTTGTACTAGATCATTATTTTATTGTGCATCCGTTGTTGTTTTTACAGGCCAAGTACAATTGAATAGCCCTCAATTTCAACCATGTCATGACTAAGGCTCTAAGTGCAGATTTGTAAAATTGTGAAATCCACTCCCATTTTGTCAGGATTGTCAAACCTGTCGCACTTGTTCCAAACATTGTCAAATCCGGACTGCTATTCCAAGGTCTGCTATTCCAAACGTCATATATGACACTTTTCACTTTCAACATTAATACATTCTTCCCCTCTTTTCAAACATTTTGTCAGATACAATGGCACGTTTTTGCTTTTCAGCTTAAAATTTCTCAGCCATGTTTTAATAAAATAATACACGTTGCTGTGTTATGTCTGGTTTATGTAGAGTGCTGCTGCTGCTGCTGCTGCTTAATCGTACACGTACATTTGTTATATCGTACATGGGCAACGCAAAATATGTATTGTGCTGTTGGCACGACTGTGGGATGAGCCTCTGATGCGGTCACCAAAATAACCAACGGGAGCAAGAAGATCATCCTGGGAGACCGAGGCCCGCATGTGGGTGGAACATTCCAGAGGGTTCATGCGGGCAAAGTAATGATATGCTAACCAAAGGTGTGTGCTGATATTTATTTTAAAATCATTATCTTTTTTAAGACCTAATATAAATAAAGAAGGTAAGAGGTCCTTATCTTTTGTCTGCAGGGCAGCAGCAAGATGGGAGGTAGTCTGGGTGTTGAGGCTCGTTAGGAATGGGAGCTATATATAGTGCATGTTTATCCTCGGCAAGCTTGGGTCTCTTTTTTTGTTGCTGTAGTACTGAACCCTTGCAGCTGTGCACTGCCTTTTGACCAACCAGTAAGCATGACCTGAGGGAGAGCACATGGTCTGTTGCTAAGTAAATCACTTCAGCTGCCACACTATTAATTTCAAATGAATACAGTGCATCGACTGGATGTGGAGGTGTAGCTTTGATAGCACTTTGTAGGTGGATGACCTTGCCCAGACATGTGCAATAGCTCATATCTGGCTTCACTAAACACAGTTTGTCTCTTTTGATTTAAAGCTTTCGTGATTGCAGGGATTCACATTATTGGTTCTTTCGGTAAAGTCACGTAGAAGGGAAACAATAAAATAATAAAAATAGAATCATCATCGTCAGATGATGATTGCTTGTGTTGCAGTCGAAACGTCGTGAGGATTTTATTGTTTTATATTTTTATTATTTTATTGTTTCCCTTCTACGTGATTTTACCGAAAGAACCAAGAATACAATTTGTCTCTTTCTGTCCAAAATAAACCCTGTGACAAAATATACAAGATGCCTGTGGTATTTCACACGTGAACCTCATAATAAGTAACATTTTTCATTAATTTATAATTTGCTATTTAAACAAACAAGTAAATGTGCTTGTGAGACGAAAGGAGATTTTCGACCGGTGCTTATTGCCCGTCATGAAATTCGAGAAGTAAACTTCGACAACAAACGTGGAACAAAAGCTTAAGAATGCGCAAAAGGAGCATGGGGAGACGGAGAGAGGGACATATCGATCGGAGAGCAAATGAGAACCATCACGTTGGCCGTGAAAAAAAAGTAGGTGGGCTAGGGCAGGACACACGTCGCGAGAAGGGATATCAGCAGATGGACGAGACTTACTACAAAGTGGCAGCGAAAGGAGTAAATATGCCCACGAGGGACAACAGACATTAAACAACGATATTGGATCATGCACACGAGTAAGACAATGTTTGGTGGCATCGCAGGATAGTGATGACATGGAGAGAGTCCTTCCAGTCGTGACTAGAACATTGCCAACGATGAGACGGCACTGTTCATACTGTGAGAGGCTGACCCTTCCTTGGTAATGTGGCATTGATATCACGAGTCCAGAGCTGCCAGTGAACACGAGTGCTGTTCCATTGGTCCTTTGAGTGGGAAAACACTGACTTAAGACATCATTTACATTCTGTACTTAATTATTTTGGTCTAGTACGTACACATTGCGTCTGTTAATATTGCTATTGTAAGGCGCCGTCCAGAGTGACGCATCGATATGTCTGGTATTAGCAGAGCTTAAGCGTTGTAGAAATGATTAAACGTCCTCATTCGTTGCAACATGGAG